TGAATGAGTCATTTTTCTCTTGAATGAAAAAAGCCCTCTGCAAGCTTGCTTTAAAAGTCTGCTCCCACTGCACGATCCACATTTTCAGTATTATTTATAAAATCCTTCAGGCTTTATCAGTTCCTTATTTGAACTGCTCACCCTGACCTACTCTGTATTCATTAAGTATTTGTTTAGTAAATATGGTATAGCTTATGGGTTATTTTTACACTTACTTGAGGCCCTGGGATTCCTTGTTGACCAGGAGGCCCTGGTTCCCCTTGAGGACCCTACCAGGAAAAAGGAAACAGAAGCATTAGGTTTGGGCTTCTGGATTACAAATCTTCATTGTCTGGCCTAGAGGAAAAGAAGCATATCACTGTTTCTCCTTTTTACAGCCTTCTACCTTTCTCTTTTGAGTGATTTTCAATTTAAATAATTATTACTAATGTTTTATTAAAATGAGGAAAATTCTGCCCACACTTTTACCCTGAGCTCTATGGGGCTACTGTAAGTTAAATGAGACCAGAATTTGGCTCCTTAGGCTTTAATGTGACAAAGCCATTATCTTTACTGTAACCTCATGGGGAATCTTAATTTCAGATTGAACAGTTAATTAAACAGTAGGGAGAGGGAGAAAAAAATGATTTTTTGATTCCCAGAGTTTGTTTTTAGTTCCCAGATTATCCACTTACCATATTTCCTTTTGAGCCTGGGGGGCCATCAACACCTGCAACACCCTGCAGCAAAGAAGAGAAGTTGAAGCAAACATTCAGTGGAATTATTTCATGCTGGAAACTGCACTTGTAAAATGTCTCACTTTATGCCATACGTACAGGTTGTCCGTGGGGACCAGGTGTGCCTCTTGGGCCTAATAATCCACGTGGGCCCTGAAGAAAAGAAACACTTCTTGTTAAAAATGTAGGTGCACGTTTTCTTTACAAAGAAGGTGGGGATCAGGACTGCATAGGGAGGGAGGTAGCAGGTAGGGAGTGGGAATTGTTTCTTGACTATGCCAGAATAATGGAGCAATTCTTCTGTTGCAAAAAACTCCCTCAGAAAGAGCACAATAGGTCAGAATACTTTTGACACTATGGATTCCTATTGGAACTATCTGGGAGTGTCTTGTGAATCACATGTAGGTGCTTGCACCCCTAACAGTACTAATATTGTACAGCACCCCGTGGAAACCTTGAAAGGATCTCGTGGAACCCCATGGAGATGCATCACTGCAGCTGGGAATCACTGCTTCAAATATACCCTGTTCATATGTTCTCCCTCTAAAGCATCTACTACTGTCACTGCTGGAGACAGAATACAGGGCTGGGTGAAGCACTGGTTTTACCAAGTATGCCAATTCTTATTTCCTTATGTTCTACATCAGGACTAGAGTATGGGTAGAAGCAGCCTCCTGTTGAGCTTCATGGTTGCCATGCTAGAGAAGGAAGCTATGAGGTGGGCGGGTGTTTTTTCTAACAGCTGGCCTCAACATTGGCACAGCACCCACTACAAACATTTTGGTTGAGTGCTGAATGGAGGATTTGACCCATAAAACAGTATGTATTTAATTAAAATAATATTATTATTATTATCAACCGCTGTACTGCTACACCAAATGGAAAATGCTGCTGTTCTGAATGATAAGGATCACTGTTCAACAGCTGAAAATGATTCTTTTGGGGTACTATTATGATTGTTGTTATTACTATCAACAACAACAAATGCAAATATTTCCACACAAAAAAGACCAGACTTCCTCAACTTACTCATACAAGTAATTCCATTAACGTCAATGAAATTGTTCTCTTGAGTCAGATTTGCTCTATAATATCATCTTTGATTTGACACAATGTTAAGTGGTTTCTGCTTTTTATTTTTTATGTCATTATACACAGTTGCCGAAGTAGGAAGGTCTGACTCCCATTTCATCACGTGTTGAGTGGATGTATATCACCACCGCTCTGACTCAGTAGCTTTTTGGGCTATTTTGTGATTACAAAGTGTATAGACTGGATTTTTAAGATAAAATTCTCCTTTTTAAACCTGTGATTTTTGTCTGTATTACAAATTGCTACTCTGCAGTGACAGCATCTGCAGAATTTGAACATGCATCAGTGGAATATTTGTGCAAGAAACAAGCAAAAGTATACAATGGAGAACAGCGGCATGGGCAAAAGGGAAGGGTGCCTATACACAAGCAGTGAGGCTGCTCCGACGCACTGTAATTACATAGAGAGTGATAATTTCTAGAAGTTTCAATGGTTTGATTGTACTTTCACTTAAACTGGTGCAAATTAGAAACAATTCCATTAAATCCTGGTGAGGTTAAACAGCTGTAAAAAATGAAAATCAAACCTAAGAATTATGGAAGTTGCTTATAATGAGCTAAATTCATCCCTGACATAATTCTAGTCACTTTGCTGGAGTTCTCCCTCACCCAGAAAAAATGTCCCATTGTTTACTTTTCATACAGGACTGCCTTTTTTCATATTAGAAGCTCAGAAAAGCTGAAAAGAAATTGATACAAATCTTAGACTGATTTGGCTTTGTTAAATGGTCAGTGCATAAGCCAGAAACAGAACAGAAGGAAAGTTTTGCTTACAGCTTCACCTGGAAGACCTCTTGGTCCAACTTCCCCATCTTCTCCCTATCATTAAATACAAAATAGAAGTTTCAATGTGAAGAGTATATGCCACCAAAGTATTTCTGTTGCATAAGAACTCATTTTAGATTTTACCACCAATATAATGAATCTAAAATGGTTAGTAACATACTCTTGATCCATCTTCACCGGGTAAACCAGGAGGTCCTTGTGAGCCACGATCTCCCTGAAGGATAAAGAAAGTCTTATTAAAGCAACGCAACTCTGGAGGGTTGGAAACAATAAGGGATGGGAGAGTGAAATGAAAATGAATGTGTTGGCTGCATTTTCAATATAAAATTTTGCTTCATTAGCAAACAGATACAAATATATGAGTTATAGTATGCAGTTATCTGCAGTTGTATTATGCAGATTCATCTGAGAAAGAATTAAAATTCAGAGATGTGGTATAGTAATATTGTTATTATCAGTGTCTATAAAACTGTGTTTTTAGCTTCAGAACAGGCACATATGGCTGAAGAAAAAAACATGAGTATCCAGCTGGTAGTTAGCTGTATCAACAGACCCCAAACACAAAGTGTCACTGATGGTGAAATGAACAATCTGCACCAGGTCAGAGATAATTACAGCTATTTGCTGAATCCTCAGATGTATAAAGTGAAATGGGTGGCCTATATTGCCCAGACTTTATTCCAGAACTACGCCCTATGGCTCCAGTCAAAGACAGCCTTTAGACTGACTTGTTGAGGGCTTGAAAGGGAGACAGACTTCTACATTTCTGCCACAGGTCAGGGCTTTTCCAGCACATATACTCAGAGCCCCAGCCTTTTCTGGACTAGTATTTGGGATTTATTTTCCTTTTCTCATTTTTTAAAAAGGGCTAGTGTATTGCACAGTCAAACACTGCAGACTGGCCTCTTTTTAGGGTCAGATTCTTAGTCCATGATCTCCTTTTGGCATTGAATAAAGATAAAACGTTGATGTTGATTTTAGCTTCATTAGTGCCTCCAAGGACCTTGACTACAGTTCTGGACACTGACAGATATATGGAGCCATTCTTGAGTGGCTCCTTTCTTTTCTATTTTTGGTGTGTTGTCAGGGACATGAGATAGAGCTATAAAGCATGATGGGTTTTAATCTACTGCCTTTCTATTCAATGTGATTTTGAGATCATTAAGAAAGTAAATTTGTATGGACAGTGCTTTTGCCACTTCACACAGTGAGTTCTATAAGGAGCTAGTCCCAAGACTGCCCCAATAGCATCCACTGGAACAGAACATGGCTTCTTACATGTTATGAATGCGTAAGACATGGGTACAATTTGTAATGAAAGTTTAAATCTGTGAAGCTCTGAATTGGTGCATTCCTGCAGAAGCTCTCTCTCTTCTCGCAGTATCATGACAATTGAGATCATCCGGGGAGCTTGAGCTAACAACAGTGCTCTGGTTTCATCATGAGGCCTACAGAAGAGCATCATTAATGAGGTCCTTTTATTTAAAATGCTCTTCTTCCATGGTAATGCTGAAGTCTGAATGATTCATATAATTTTTTCTATTTTTTTTGGGGAGGGGGGGTTGTTTTTTGTTTTCCTGGAACCTCATACAAGTGGATAGAAGAGACATAACATCTTTTCTTTGGAGGATCTCTCAAAGTGATTTAGACATAAGTCACTTTATTGTTCTGTTGATTCTATAATTATGTTTGACAGATGTAGATGTGTATGCTTCCAATAAATATAAGTAACAAAAATGAAATGAAAATTCATAGCGTCACCAATTAGAAGTAAGAAGTAAGCAGTGTGGTCTGACCTTCTGTATAAACCATGGTTTAAAATTTCATCCAGTTTCTCCTACACTTAACCCAACAACTTGTGTTTGGGTAAAGTTTATCATTCAGATGGCCCTCCAGCCTGGAAATTACAGTATTTGCTGCCAGCTTAAAATGACTAGATCTGAAAAGATTTGTTAAAAGAATACTCTAAGGATTCTATTTTGTTTTTTAAACATCAATTCTCTCATGGCTGACATTTAACAACAGGAGAAACAGTTTTATCTCTTCATTCTTTTCTGTGCTTTTTATTATTGGTGATAGACTGCAATGAATCTAAAGGGTTGCATCCATCTGATTTTATTTTGAATTGATTTGTTTCAGATTTACCACACTCCCATTTTAATGTTAGTGTTTTGTATTTCTCAAGTAATGGGATAGAGAATTTGGGAAAGATTATTCTTTTTATTAACCCTTGCAAATGTATAATTTGCATTCGTTTTGTTCATTAAAAGTATTCATCCATATCTAAAGTATGAAAAAAAGTTTATTCTGTACACTGAAGGTCACAAAGAGCATGTCTACATGTGCAATTAATGTGCTGAAAGCTTACTGCACAGTAAAATACTACACAGTAAGCTATCCCTGGTAGTGCATCTACATATATCCCCATCAGGAACAAATTTGCTCTCAACAGGAGTAGTTCAGCCAGGGCTACTCCTGCTCTGTTCTCATTCAGCAGCCAGGAGGAGCTCTAGGCTCCCCCAGGTGTCTTCCCTGGGCTGGCAGGGGGCACCAGGGTCAGGCCTGGGCTCCAGGGAATGGAGGGGGGGAGCTATCCCACTTCCAGGGCAGCTGCCTCCCACCCCACACCCTTGCCCTGGACAGCTCTCTGCTGCCCAACCCCTGCTCTGATCTTGGAGTGGGAGGGGGGTGAGGGGGGGTGGTTAGAATATTATCCCCTGCCCCGGCAGCAGGCAGTTGCTGGGGCAGGGGACAATGTCCCAGTCCTGGCTCCAACTGACCAATTGAAACAGGGACTAGAAAGCAGGCAGCTGCCCAAGGAGGGGACAGCACTCTGCTGCCTGGGCAACTATGTAACCATGCACTACTGTGCATTACCTAATGTGCAGTAAAGTTACTACCTGTATTTCCAGGTAATAGAAAACTGTGCATTAAGCTATTTTAATGTGCAGTAGCTGCTGCACATTATTACATAGTGATGCTTTACTGTGAAGTAGACAAATCTACTGTGCAGTAAAGCATTGTTATGTAACCACGTGCAGCAGCTAATCTACTGCACAATAAAGCGTCTCGTGTAGATGCACCCAAAAACTGCTAGCTCAGCTATGCCAGATTAGAAGAATGACATGGATCCAATGGTCCTGAGCCAATCTGAAAGGATTATTTAGCCTTCACATAACATGCGAGGATAAATGGTGACCAGATCTTGCTATAACCCTCTGCTGGTCACTGCATCAAATTAGGGTTCAGTTTGATCTGTGAAGAAGATTGAGGAAATAGGATGAAGAGAATTGTGAGCTGCATTCAAACAAATGGCTTGAGATACTAAGTATCTCTTAGAACTCTTGGCAAGTAAAGGTTTTTCTCCCATCTACTGCAAGCTAGCTCCAATATGGGGCAGAAGAAAATCACAGTCTAGCTTTCTCCATACTCCTTTTATGGTGCCTAGCATAACAGGGTACTAACAGGGTAACTGCATTATGGAAAGCAAAGAGGCTAAACCCTGGAGAAACGATGCAATTCAAAACAGAATTGCTATTTCCACCGGTATCCCTATACACACATGCAGGGCTAGGTGAAATCTAGCTCTACTGATTTTTATGGTGTAACAGGCAAATAATCTTACATTGTTTGTCTAAGGAAGACTATAAAGTTGACTAAATTCATACAAGTGAAAGACAACAAAAATAGCTTTCAGATCTGGTCTTTCCCAAAGTTCTCTGGAGCTTGTGTCTGAGGTTCCCAGACTGAGGCAATTCCCATGAATTAGACATAAAGCTTAACCATTTAACTTCTCTTAATTTATAGGATTAGGAAACATTTTAAACAATGCTAAAAAGAATGAAGTCAGAGGTGATATTTTTAAGACAGCTGCAACATTTAACATTTCCAAACTCCTGTAAAACTCTGTACTCCTCTGTTCATTTCTATGTACCCACAGTATAAATAATATGCATTAATTTTCTGGGATATTACAACTTGTTTTGAACAATCAGTTTAAAACCATATGGCAACATCTTTGATCTGAAACAAATTAAAGAAAGTACACCAGTTGAAAATATGGCCCAATCTCTGGAACTATATTTAAACCAAAAAATGTTGATGTGGATTGTTAACTATGTTCCATGTTAATGGTTTCCTTTTCTGAAACTTTTGTTACATTTATAACTTGACAGTATGTTTTAACATAAAATTCTTACATTCTCTGCAGGTAAACTGTTCATAGTTTTTTTGTTTTAAGTTGATATAATGTTACCACCGTTTTCATAGGTTGTTATATAAACATTCATGTTTATCTTACCCTGTGACCTTTTTCACCAGGCAGACCAGGAAGACCATCAAACCCTCTATCACCCTAGGAAAGAAGAAATTACAGCCTTAGTAAACAGCTATTGTATTTTGTAATATTCTTAGTAAAATTACACCTTATCCCTGTGAGCTAAGTTCTGCCCACAGATGCATGCGTACACCAATTGAGTAAGTTATTGAAGTTTAGCAAATATAGCCAAACATACAGAATTTGGTTCTTTGTATTCCTATGTCTTTGGTTCAAAGCAGAGGAAGCTGTTATGCACCATATTTTACAATCTGTTGTCATTATGTCTTTTATGAAACTAAAAACTAAACTGAAATGTATGTTATTATTTCTTTTATGAAACTAAAAACGATGTCTTTTATGAACTATAGCAAGACAAAAGCCTTAATTCCTGCCCTAGAGTTGCAGAGGCAATTCCAGTAATACTTAAAAGAGTTCTAGTGAGGTCAGAATATGGTCCAAAGAATCAACTTGCTTAAAGGTTACACAACTATTACCATTAATTCACATATTTTTAAATGGTGTTTCTTACGTCTAACCCAACTGTTTGAAACCTCAATATTTTCCTTGCACAGTAGATTCCTACATTGTTTTAACATTTGGGTTGGCATGTTAAAAGTTTGGTCCTGATTTAAAATATGCATAATTCATTCTGTGACTGAAATATAGTCACACAGTTCATAATTACCAGGGATCCTGGTATTCTCTGTTTAAAAGTTGTAAACTCTATGATTTAAAAAAAAAAAAAAAGTCCAAATTCTCTGATTGAAGCCCCCCAATCCACATTTTTCTGTGATTAAAATGAAATGCCTCTATATATATATATATATATATATGTATCACTTGGACACAGTGTTTTATTGCTATATTTACACTTTTAAAGCAATTTGGAAGCCTACCAGTGCCTCAATCACTTAATAAAATAAATTCTAAATACCTATACATTTTGGAGTTTGATTTTCAGTTTTTTATTATAGAAAATCATAGGTCCACCTGCTCCCTTCACTCACCAGGATGCGGGTCCAGCTTCAGCTATGCCTCCTTATTGCTTTGTGGCACTGAGCAGCCCTGATATGCCGGTGCCCTGCTCATGCCACTGCCAGTCACTCCCGACCCACATTCCCTTGGACCTGCCAGTGCCCCTCACTCCCCACTCACATCCCCCTGGCTCTGCTAGTATCCCTCACTCCTCTCCTATCACCCCTGCTACCCCTGGTGGCTCCCCTCATTCCCCACCCAAAGCCCCTTACCCCTGAGACCTGCCAGAGGGAGCCCCAAGCTCCCAGGCCTATAGGACCAGGGACCTGGGTCCGCAACCCCCTGCCCCCCTGCAGCAGTGCCCAAGACCTGCCTGCCACATGTGGGAGGGAGCAGCTGCTGTGGCAGAGCAGAGCATGGAGCCCAGCTCCCCCTCCCGCACAGGCAGCATGGCCTTAGCAGAGCCCATGGTTTGGGGGGAGGGGCAGGTCTGGGCTGCCTGTTGTGGGCTTGGACTCTCCACCCTGCTGCCCTCCCCTGGGGCCTCTCCAACTCAGTGGACAGGACCTGGCACAGCAGGCCAGAGTGTGGCAGAGCAGACCTGGATAAGGGAGCTTGGTGCTGCCACCGTGAGCCCTGCATCATCATGGCAAAGTACACCCTGCTCGCTCAGCAGCAGCAGGGCTGGAGGCACAAAGTTGTGCCCCTTGCTGCATCTGGGCAGGCAGGGGGTGTTTCACCAGGGTGGCACGGACTCCTGGAAGTGGCACTGAGCTTCCCTGTCCCACTGTGCCCTGCAGCTGTGGGTCCCACCCACTGAGCCGCAGAGGTCCTGGGGGGAGGGCAGCAGGGCAGGAAGCCCAAGCCTGCAGCTGCCAGCCCACATCACCCCCACCCTGAGCACAAAACTGGGGGGCACATAACCCCCTAGGAGTGCACACAGTGGTGGGGATCTACCCCCACCCCAAACCCCTGGACAAGTTGCCTGTGGTCCCATCCCACTCCCCACCTGGACCATGCATTCCAAACCACATGCACCACCCAGGCTGGCAGCACCCCAGCTTTGCCCAGCTCCCTCTCTCCCTCACTATGGGAGCCTCAATCCCCACCACCCCCATGCCAGACTTACCTGCAGGGAGCTGCTTTCCAGGCTGCCTGGCGGCCATGTGCATGTGTACACGTGCACATGCACATGGTGCCTCCTGCCTGACTGCCTTCCTCCAACTCTGCCATCCTGCAAGGGGAAGCCTAACGTTTCACATGTTTTTCTGCTTTAAAGGAGAAAAACTGGGTTTTTCTCCTTAAAAAGAGAAAATCTGGGTTTTGCCGCATTTTTCCATTACAAACAGAAAGCCTGGATCCCTGATCATTACATACCTTCGATCCTGGTTCTCCTGGCATCCCTCTAGCACCATCAGCACCTGGGCGACCCTGCAAACAAATGCAAACACATGAAGAGGCCAACTCGTGATATACAACACAACCAGGAAAAATTGCTTTTCATGGGGATTTCAGGTTTTTTAAACCAAATATAGATTGGGCTTCTGCATTACTTACCCTTTTACCCCGTTTTCCACTTGAACCAATAGCACCTTGAATACCTCGAGGACCCTAAATTTAAACAACACAGTTCTTAAAATCATATTAAATATGGTAGCACAAGGCTCAAACAGCTAGCTAAACAAGTCAACTGAAGGAAAGCATAAGGAGTTAGTCTTTTAAATACCCAAACTGTGATTTTTCAGAACTACATAAAAGATTTTGGGTGCAGTATCTTGATTGGATGGCTATGGAAATTTCAAGCCATTGGTTTGCAAAAACTTTTTCTAGCAACATTAAAATGAAAGTCAGTCATGCAAATAATTATTTTAACAAACACTTTCTTTTCACGTTCCAAATTCTCATACAAACATGAACTATAGTCATAAAAAAGTTTAAGTAATGCCCAATGTACACAAGTGGTGATGAACTTTGCTATAGGTTTAGCTGAAAGTCTACTGTATCCCATAGTCTAGTGGTTTCTAATATCAGTAAAGAGGGACAGATACAATACAAACGAAAAAGAAGAGTAGCAGCTACTGAGCCACCCATGCCACTCTGGTACCATTTAAGTTTTCTTGGAAATTTCCTGCTTAATTACTCTCTGAGTTCAACCTTGTTCAGTTTATGAGATCTGATAAGACCACATCCTCTAGTCATAAGACTGAAGACACTGACATTAATGGCAGCTATAAGCATATAAGGTACTGAGTGGAGAAAAGAGCCTGTAATGTTATTTCAAAAAACGGTTTTCAAGAAATGACAGTGTGTGTGATAATTGACCTTTTTTAACATAAAGGCAGCTTGTTACTTTCACATTTCAAAATGAATTTCATGGAGAACTACTCAATTTCCTACAGCACTATCCAAGCAAACTTGTCTTTTAGTTACTTGTAAAAAAGATACAATTAGTTGATCTATACTAAATTATCTAAATGTATTTCCATGTATTGGAAAGCATAAAAAGGTAAAATATTCCAGTAATTTTTACTGTACCTGAGGACCTGGTTCACCACTTTCACCTTTAGCACCAGATGAACCTGGTCCACCCTTTATAAAATATACAAAATACACTGTAAATTTAAGGAAACACAAACATGCTACACAAACAAATATTTTTTATAAATTAATTAAAAAATAGAAGCACCTTTGAATTAATTATTATGAAACCAGCACTTAAGTCTGTAGAACAGAAAATTGTATTTCCTTGCAGTTTGACAAACTATGTTTCAAAACATATTCAACCCTAAAATAAGGGTTGAAACCAACCGAATTAAACAGGATCAGATTTAACCATTCTATATTAGTGTTTGCAAGATAAATACCAGAACAGTAGGGATATAGGTTTTTAAAAATCATGGTTGGTTCCTGTACCAGGTAGAAGCCAACAAGACTTGAAACCAGATTTCTCTGGTCTTGAATAACTATCAAAATCCAGCACGATCTGAAGGCTTTTGTTTATTTATTTTTATATCAGTGTAGTGAATAGAAAGACTCCTATCCATTTATTTCATTTACTAGTGTTCTTTGGATCAAATTCATAATCATACTGGCCTCTAAATATATGCTGAATCTGCATAAATATATTGTTCTATTTTTTTATGTTATCTGAGATATAAAAATACAAAATACCGGCATTAATAAAAGGATGAAAGAAGGTATTCTCTCTCACAGGATTTCAACATCAGTTTGATTGAGCATTTTTTCTAAAGTGACAATCCTATCCTGAGTTATTTCTGAACATGGAACAGACACCATGGTTAGCTGTTGACTGTTCACAACAGTTTATCTGTATAAAATAGTTTTTGTCCAGGATACATTTACACAATGAATAGAAACCTCTTTAGACAAAAATCTTATATAAACGTATTATATAAATTAACTGTGTGAACTCTTGACCCAGTATAGTTAAAAAGTTAACAGCAACTTTTCTTGGTTAAGGAAAGGGATTTTTTTACAGCATAGTTAATATGCTTCTTAACATATTTAATAGGGATTCTCTCAGTTAAAATAGCAAATACATGTCAGGTTAAGGTCGAGATTTCCAAAAGTAACAAGTAAATTTGCTCACTCCAGTTCTTGACTGGACTTGACTTTTCGGAAGGTAAGCATTCTACAACCTCTGAAAATTAAGCCTCTTTTGAGACATTTCAAGTTATGCACACAAGCAACTGAGGCACCAACAATTACTAGTGACTTTTGGGAATCTTGACTTAAAGATCAGTAGAGCTGGATTTCTAGAGCCTCCTGGTGGTTTAACAGCAAAATAGCTAGTCATTAAACAGCATACAAAGAATCACTGATGCTTCTAACATGTGCCCCAGCACTGGAGCATGGCCAAAACTAAATTGAACTACACCCTTCCAGGGATCTACTGCTTTTTTTACAAATGGAGTAAGTGTGAACTGTAGTTAAATATCTATTGTGCTTGCATACACTGAACGTGATATTCTAAGTCCCTTGATTTACACCATTGAAAACAGGGTATTAGGGTTGTTTTAGTGTAAAAAAAACAAACCAATTGAAATGATTTATTATAAATATAGTTAAATTTATTGTGATCGACCAAAAGTCTGTAGGCCAAACTCTCTGCTGGACATCAGGGACAATTTAATTAGTTTTAGGAAAGTTATGTCAACACAGAATTTGTCTCAGTACATCAGCTTGAAAATTACTGTTAAAGCCCAGCAATTTCAATTTGGAAGACAGAGTAAACTTTGGGTTTTTTTTAGTTGGAAGTCAGCTGACGCCACAACATTTTACCTATATAAGTAAGAAGTGCCAAATCCTTGGGACTGGTCTTTCAGGAGCTCATTGTAACTTGGCAAGAAAGGAGTTCTTTGAAGCTACATGATGCTAGGGACATAGCTTGCCAGACCAACACAGGGTACAAATTTACAGCAATTCCACAATTATGACAGCTGCCAATAATTTCTGAGGGAACATCCAGCAGTCAAAAGTTGTGGAAATATAAGGGCATCAGATTGAGTCCTGCCCTCCACAGATATGCCTTCCACATTTTGTGCTGGGGGGTACAATGGAACAAAGACACTTTGCCAACTTTTCTGTCATCCTGGGATCTTCCCTTACATAAAAAAGGTGTCCTCAATGGCTGCATCCAGATGAGCAGGGGTGTGCACTTGCAGCAGTACAACTAGTAATGCCACAAATTAGCAGGTCTCCTATCTCTATGTGCCTCAGCACAAGGGCAGCCCTGGGAGATGGAAGCAGGCAACTCTCCCATTTCCACATGCCTTGGTGTGGGCACTCTGCCCAGGGCTGCCTGCTTCCCCGTCTTGAGGAATACTGTGTCCCAGCCAGCTGTTCACAGCTGGCTGGGGTACAAGGAGCCCCAGCTTGGGAAAATCCCAGTAGCAAATTTTCTCCCCATGCTGCAAAATTAGCAGTGTCATGCCTGGTTTAATGTGCAACACATGCAGTTTGCGGCACCACAAAGTGGTTTGTGGCACCACAAACTCTAAATGCCTGTGGCGTGGCCAGTAGGGACAATTCCCCGCCCCCCCCCCCCCCGTTAAGACAAAAATTTTCTACACAAAATGCAATTTGCATATTTGTTAATCTGTCTTCTTCCTTGCTAACTAATAGTGGATTCAATACACTATATATTAAGGAAGTGAGGATGACAAGAAGAAAAATAGAAGGTAGGAAGGGGGAATAACTTGTACCTAATGCTGAAACACTGGTTACTATTGAAACATGAGCTTTTCCTGAAGGAACACATAAAAGAAGGAAGGGACAAGAGAAATGGAGAAAGAGGAATTGTACTTTGGATATTAGTTGCAACATTTCACAGATTTTTTCTGGTTACTTGCTGTATGCTGATGATTTGCTTTATTATTAAATACAATACTTAAATATGTTTTTGCCTATGTTTTGCAAACAGATGTTTGATTTATGCCATTGTGAATGGTAAAGTTGCAATTTGTGGTACAAGTGGACAATATTTTAATGATGCTTTGCATAATAGGATGTAGCAAAGATCATCTAAATCAGGTGTGGCCAATCTGTGGCACATGTCACAATGGCATCGGCAGCCTCTGTGTGTGGCACATGGATGATCAGGGAGGGGGCAGGGAACACAACAGCAGATAAAGCAGGGAGCAGAAAGCAGAGGAACGGATTAGGCAGGGGAAGAGGAATATCTGTCAATTAATCCTTCCAAGAAAGCAAATCTACTGATTTCTAAATTCAAATGGCTACATCATATATCAGAAAATAAATATAATAACCTGGGATAAATTTAGAAAAGACTACTTTTCTACAAAGCCTATGATCTTTGTTGTAGCAGTTGTTATTTTGTCTTGTTGTAGGTACAGGTTAATGGTTTTCTGAATGATGTTAGGTGCTAAATTATGACATTTAGTGGATTATTTGAGTCTGCAAAGTATCAATTTCCTAAGAGAGAATATTGCAATTACAAGTAGACTGATCATGTACTTTAGAAATTGCCCAGCTTCCTACCTGGTTTTCTACTCTTTTTACATGTGCTGTACTTTTAAAATGTTGGCTCAGGATCACAGTGCCAAACTGAGTAGTAATCTAAAAGCTCCTTGGCATGCTTACTTTCATGGACTTTTGATATCTATACTTAAATCGTTATCCTCATTTTATGTAACTTACCACAGGACCTGGTCTTCCAGTGAGTCCCATGGGGCCAGGTGGCCCTCTCATAGCAATCTGTGAATGCAAAAAAAAAACCCAATAAAATACTCCAAGAGAAAGCAAGAAAGCTACAAAACCAGATATGAGAATTGTATAATAGCATATTCATTCATTCATTCACTGATGGTGCTAGTAGCTGTTTAGGTCATAGATAAATGTTTATGTTGCTCAGCTTTTCAACTGATGTTAAAAAGCATAAGGGAAAGATAGCGAATATTGAGCTATCGCAAGTGTACAGACAATATGTTACCCTATATCTGTGTTATTTACTATTTATTGAGACTGTAATAGAATGTGCCTATATTTGCATAGTAGGGTTTGTCCTCTCAGTAGGAAGAGTTATACAAAAATGATTATATTTTAACAAGGAAGTGGTAATACTAGGAACTGGAACTCTGTCACTATAGTTGAAAACTGTTCTACTATTGGCTAAACAATAAGCCCTAATATTTTCAAGACACACTCATGTAGCTAAGCCACATTGATGATGACTTGTCCCCCAGTTAAGCCATTTGGAAGTCTAGACAACACAGAAAGGATGAAGCATAATGGTTTCACCTTAAATATGTTTTCTCGAGGTCATATCACACTTTCCAGAATCAACATGCAAGTAAACATTCAAGTAAATTGATTTGGATATCTCAGCAAACGATCAGCCCAATCTCCTGCAGTGTTCTGCTTAGATGCTGTGTTGGTCATACTGAATTAGCAAACCTATTAAATATGCCGCCCTTACATTCAGGGTTCTTACGTGTGACTGAAGATTACCTCCCCTCCCCTCTACATCTATATATTATAAAGGTTCCTGTTACTATATATTTATTATTTTATAAAGCTCCCTGTTTTTAGAGATATATATATATATATATAAAAAATATATATATAAATATCTATCTATCTATCTATCTATCTATCTATATATATATATATCTAAAAACAGGGAGCTTTATAAAATAATAAATATATAGTATATATATAGTATATATATAGTATCAGGGACCTTTATAAAATTCACCGCTGTATATACAGATATATTTTTATGGCAGTTTTACTTGACCATTAGGAAGAACAACAGTCTTACCCTAGCCTGCTGAAGAATTGCTTGGGCTTGAGCTTCCTGAGCTGAGATTGTTGGACCTTTCTCCCCATCACCACCAAAGCGGAACTACAAACATCAAAAGGAAAAAAAGAATTCAAAATAAACAAGGTATTCACTGTAACTGTACAAACTGCTGCTTAAGACACTGTGCCTGGTTTTTTCCTTTAGTTTTACTCTGGTGTTACTTATTCCATTTCCAAAAGATGGAGAAGCAGTAACATTGGTTTTAATGTGGATATTAAGCAACTGATAACAGAATTTGAAAACAAGCCTAATCTCATATAAATGTTCCATTGAAACATTTTGTAAAAACAGGAAATCTGTTTTTTTTCTCTTATTATTTATGTAACATGCCATTAAAATGCAAATGAAAGAAAAGAATCAATTTTTAATGTCTGCAAAGTAGCACTAACAAAAACATGCACCAAAATCATTCTTCTGTAACGAAAGTCAAAGTAATTTTAGTTACTAGCAGAAAAATGCCTAAGGTAGTCTGTCAGTGATTGGGCTTTCCTGGGGCAGGGAAACCCAAGGATCAAGCCTTCTTATTCCCTTACTATAGAGCTCCTTTTTGAGGCAACTTTTTAGCTATAACTTCTGTGTGCCCCTATAGCACTATAATTTTGTAATATTACTAAGCATCCCCAAGGGCTCAGCATTTTGTAGCTCTATAAATGAATGCCTGTACATTATCTAAGAGAACTTTTGAGAAAGTACCAGCTCAAAAATATAACACATTTTACTAATCATTCATTGATTCTCTTTTAAACAGAAAATAAACTTTCCGACTGCCTCCTTTCTTCACTGATACAATTGGTGTATGGGGAAGTCTAAGCATTCAGTGGAAGTATAGTAACAGTAACCAATAAGCACCTATACCTAGTCTATCTCCCCAAACATGCTCCATTGTAATTTGCACTCTATTAATTCCTAAGCAATATTCTACAGGAAAAATCTTTTCATTTGCACTCAGTAATATATTGTGTTTTGCCACCTGTGGTATGATAGCTTTAATAGCTTTGGGAATATTCCTCCTCCTGCTGACTAATGAAAGCAGTACTGTGATGAATATGATTACAAACCTTCAAGCAAGAAAGACTGCAGTCTCTTGAATGAAATCAGAAATGTCCAATCCATGCAAAGTTCTTACATATTTTCTCTTTTATAAACATACTAAATGACCTTCAAAAGATTACAAGTGAGTATCTCTGTTTTATGTTGCATGTCAAAGGCAGAACCACCTGCAGGATAGGACATCTGTTTTCTCATCTTGATTAATTTCCCTTTTCTGTAAGCAAAAGTATTCTGTAACAAAAATTGACTACCATGTAATGACAATAGGACTTACTGGCAACATTAACATGGTACCAGGGGGACCAGCTAAACCGTCAGCTCCTGGAAGGCCAGCACGTCCTGGTGGGCCCTGTGAGAACAAAAGAAAATGGAAAATGTTATAGAAGATTCATCTATATGCACTAAGCACATCTTGCTAGTTACAGGACTACCAGTGTCCACACCTGTATTCATAAGTTTTGTCATTCAGAAGGCCAACGTGGGAACCCAAGACATAATTAATTTTGGAGGCACCAATTATGAACCCAGTATAAACTGAGGTGAGGTTTGACAAGTCGCATCACTAATTTAATTGTTGAATATTACAAACATGATGTCATTTTAAAAACAAGCACTACACATCATCTAGGAAACTGAAGCTAAGATGTAACATAAAAAATACTAAAGAATATAAAACTCTACAAAGCTACGGATAAGAATACCAGGGCTAGGTACAGACATACAAAAGCCTGAGGCAGAATCGATTTAAATTACGTGGTTTTCTGTAAATGGTGTGGTTGAGCTTGGTAGCAAACAAAACACATATTTGCCCTGAGTGGGAAGGGGAGGAGGGCAAATCATAGACCAGGTTCTGCCATTTTTTAACCAGTCTATATGTGCCGAACTTCTATTCTGTTATGGGTATATGCCACTCTCTAACCATTTATACCGGTAAAAGTGTAATGTCTGTACTTGGCCCCAGAGAATGGTAAATGACCTAAAGCTAAATCAGGCCATGTGATTGTAATCAAGACATTAGTTAGTGGTTGTGATCCCAAACAAAGCTTCAGTTAAATTAGTTTTTCACTTTCTTCCCTCATGGCACATTTTTAGGGGAAAACTTCACCGCCGTGATGCACATAAGGGGAACTTTTGCATAAACTTGTCCTCTTCTTAAGGGCATATGTAAAACATAAGCGCTCTTAAATTTGAGGCAATAAATAAATTTGAGGCAGTTTGAGGCAACTCTCTATAATTATTAGGCTGCAACATTTCTACTTAACACCAAAATTTGAATTCCATCATCACTGATGGCTGTATAAATTGTGGACCTTGTGGCAAAACTGGAGTATATCTTTCCAGAATCAGAAGATATGATTTTGCTGTTCTACATGTTTAATTGAACAATGCCCTTTGCTTGAATGAGATTTTTGTTAGAATTTTTTTTTCATAAAAGTTTCATTTAAGTGAAAAATTTAAGATACCATTAAAACAATTATATCAATAGCTATGCTCCGAGTGCTATGTATGAAAAACAAAACAAATAAAACCCCAACAAAAGAAAAGAAGTCTATCTTGCAGGCATAAACTGAATTTCTAAGTGGCCTTTTACCTTAATATTAAAGTATTAGACTTTGACCCTGCATAATGACCTACTTCTTGGGGTTCCTGTGACCTTATTAGGACTCTTTAAGACTGAAGCCCAAGTCAGAATTGGAGACTTGGTACATCTAGTCTGAGGTCTGCCTCAAGAAAAACATTATTGCGCACTTGCCACATAACAGGCAAAAGGAATATCGTCTTAAGTGATTTCATTATGCTGCTTTGAAGTTTCTGTGTTGTTTTATCAGTATAAAAGGATACATTTCTATGGATGTATTAAATCTCTAAGACCAAATATTGAATACAAATGTACATATCTAAGTATGTCCTATTTTTACAACAAATTACACAGTGAATTGTTGACATACTCTCAGTGTCTCCTGCACACAAATATATCATGTACATGCTAGACTCCTCAGTAAATCGTCACTCCTAAAGCTGAGTGAAATTCACTTCATGTCAGTTGAAGCAGAAAGTTTTTCGAACTAAATGCATTGAAACTTTCTTTAAATTACACAAGTTATAGACCTAGCAAAGGACTTGTGAAGACACAAGAGTCTTTAAATAATAGCAGGGTTAAATATACAAGTTGAAAAAGGCTATTTTAAAACTACAATTTTAATATTATGTATGGTCAGAGCTGAACTTTTCAAACACCATGTCATTTAATGTGGCTAACATGCATTTGTCCTTTGCTGCACCAGTAAAGATTGGAGCACATCCAATATAGTTCAACTGGAGAACAGACACTATTTCCGGCATTTTAATATGGAGTTTGATACTGCATTTCAGTATGTCTGCCCTTATCTTTGAATGATTTATAGTTCAAACATTTTTGTTTAAATCTCATTCAACTTTATGTAAGGAATATGTAATTGGATTGATACAATTATTTTATTTCATTTTAAAATTGTTTGTAGCAAAATAACACAACGAAGTAAGAGCTAGAACAGTAATTCTCAACCAGGATGTCGCACCACCCTCACATGCTGTGTCAGAGATTTTGAACGGTGCCACACAATATTAGTACTGCTAGGTGTTCAAACACCTACACAATTCACAAGATAGACCACAACAGGTCAAAATGGTTTTGACACTACAGATTACTATTTCATATTTCCAGGTTTTTCTCAGTTCTTTGCAGCAGAAGAAATGGTCTATTATTTTCCCATAGTCAAAACACAGGTGAAAGCTAAAAGCTGGCATTTTCTCAGGTGTTCTTTGAATTTTACTAGCTTGAGAGAACCACTGAGACACAATTAACCTCTTTTCCCCCCTATGTTTGCACTGTGTATTGCTACTTTGAAAGCGATATTTGCCCAGATTCTCGGGGGTGTAAATCAGTACAGCCCCATCAATGTCTCTTGAGTTGTGTCAATATGCACCCGTTCAGGATCTCATCCATTAACTTCTCTAACAATTGGTTTAAGATATACCTATAATCTACTGAAAAATCTACATATTAACTTACCCTCTCACCAGGATCACCTGGAGGACCAACAGCACCCTGTAAACCTGGAGGACCTGTAAGACCCTGTGAAAAAACAGCCCATATGTAATTATGCTGCATGACAAACTGGAGCAGTGTTTATAAGTGCTTATTGTTTTGCAAAAAGGTTACATTCAAGACCCATAAATAATTATCTCCAAATATTAAGGCAGATTTGTTTTTTTTCCTATAAAAAAAAGTATAGTCAAGTTTTTAAAAGTTGTGACCAATAAGTCAGGGTTAAATTTTTACAAGTGATCGTCAACCAGCATTGTCTCATTTTCACACTAGAACCAAGCCCTTTTGTACTGTACTGTGTAATAGTATAGTTACCTATGAGAAATTATGATGTCTCAATTTTAATTATGTTAATTCAGATGTACCAAAGCACAAGAGACAAATCAAATGCACAAAGGGGGAGGTATAAATAGATGAGAAAAAACAAATAAAATGACTAGTACAAACAAATAAAAACAAGCCACATACAGGAGGTCCTCTTGCTCCTGGTGGTCCTTCAACAAGCATTCCCTACAGGAAAAAAACAAACAGAAACAAATTTAAAAGTCAAAAAGAAACAATTACAGGAAAAATAATTTAAGTCTTATGTTTGAATGGGGACCTTTTTCTTATTCCATATACTCCTGTTTTCACTGAAACACAGAAATACAACTCTCCAAAGCAGCCAAGGTTAACATTTTCTCTTAAGGATCATGCTTCACTTACCAGTGCACCCACTGAAGCATATAGGTAAGCTAACTGTACTGAATTTTCCTGAATTACTCTGGGCAATGATGTCACCTTTTCTGCACTACCAATTTTTAAAGAAAATCTTTTGCAAAATAAAGACAATCATAACTCAAACTCAACTCACATACACTGATTCAATCCTATATTGGCCCTATTCTATAAGAGTGCCGGTGTATTGAAATGTATCCAGGTCATTTAGTGTTATTATGAAAATACTAAACTGTGCCTAGGAGTTCAGTGACTTTAAAAATGTAGGTCACAATGGATTTAACATTACTTGATTCATGATGACAATTGTTTTAAAATAATATTGCAAGGCATTTGGTTATGTTTAACAAGAAGGGAATTAAAGGTTTTAAAGATACAGTCATTTTGTGGGCTAATGTAGTCTGAAGTTCACCACACATCATTTGACACTGCACTACAGTCTCAACTTCCACTCATTTATTTTCTGTGACCAACGACTTCTGGATATACTAAACCTAATGATGGGAGTATTAAAACTAGAATGGTGTCCTAGGAAATAAAGTTCAATCACCTAATATTGCAGGCAACCATTCCATTTAATCCCATTTTCTTAAGCTTCCTCTTAAAATTATTTTGTTTTTGCATGCACTAATCCCTGTTACAGTTCTGTGCTGCAGGTAAACCACCACATGGCTCCAGTACATATTTTAACAGTTATTCAACCACTACACAAATGTAGAAAAATATTTTGTAATATAACCTATTTTTCTTTTAATTCAGGTTCATTATAGTCCTCTAAACTAAAATACAACAACATAACTATACTTTTTCATAAAAGCAATTTCCCTATCACCTCATTATTTACAGCTTGAGAAGGTTTTTTAGGCCACATGCTCCCTTAGCATAGCTAATTTCCACACATTTGAATTCAAGCTTACAAACCATAACAATAGAAAGTTCCATAGTGCTGGTGTAACATGATGTTGCAATGCTTTTATGTAACCATATTACCACTTCAGAAGTAAGTATTTAATTGACCAAAATACACACAATGAGTGGTGTGGAAAGTTAAAAAAGAAAAGGCAGAGCCAATTCCTTTAAGGTATGGGTAGGCACACATTGCATTGAGTCCAATTTGTATAGATTTATCTAAATTCATTTAAAACTAATTAACAGGGGTACCACTATTTATTTTTCTTATTTATTTGATGTCTATGCTTCCCTCTCCAAAATTGCCCAAGGCAGCTTACAATAACACACTCACATAAACAAATAAAATAACGAAATGATAACAACACAGATCCTGAAAGACTACCCAAAGCTTAAAGATACCTGCTAAAAGTCTGACCCAATAAAAAGGTCTTAGCATTTGCAAGGCTGTCACAGCAAAACAAAGCTCAAGGTGAGCTCATCACCTGAGCATTTGCCCAGCTTTTGAGGCAAGTTTGATGCTCTCACTGAGCTTCTCTCACTGCAGCTACACTGTTAGCAATACTCAAGACACCAGGTATATAATTAGCTTGGGTATGTCTACATGAACTGCATTCACTGCAGTGACTACAGCATAGATAGAGGTGCACCTCTTATACGTAAGAAGCTTTTCTATATTTTAACAGGCATCATAGCTGTCTCTTTGAGGCTAAGTACAAACAGTGCCTGAGGCTGAATTGATTCAGTCTTCACAGGTTTGTCTAAGCTACATAGATTGAACTGATAATCAAGTGAACATACATTCACTTTTGATTCTGGAAATGCAGCCACATGCCTGCAATGGCCCAGGTCAAAAGTAGGGCAGGGGTGCTAGAGCATGCCTCCCTACTTGGCTAGAGCAGACAAATTGGGCCAAGGCTAGCCATCTGCCCCATAGGGAGGTGGGAAAGGGGGTGGTTGCAGGGAAGCTGCAAAGCATCCTGGGATGGTGAGGGGCTGTGAGTTAACTTGAACCTAGAGGGGATCTGGGGCAGAATTTTAATAAACCAATTTAACCTAAATCAGTTAAGTCTGATATTACATCTACCCAGGTTTCTCTTAAACCAGTTTCAGTCATTTTGAAAGCAGTTTCCATGCACTGAACTTCTGGTGCGTTACAGATTTGAACTAGTTTCTGATCACTTATACTGGTTTATGTGTAATTTCTGTCCTTAACCTGAATGGTACAAGAAGCTGTTAGTGGTGCTTTTCTATATCATTTATGCTACCAGTCCACGTAATAATACTGTTGATAGGCTTGGAGGACCTCAAAATTAATATATTGTCTTCCTGTTTTTAAATTATGTGGTTTAATGCTGAAGTAAAGTACCAGTGAAAAACATAGGGAACTTAAGAAAAAATATCCACTGAAGTACTTACAGGTTCAATCACAGCTGGTTCCCCCTTCTGTCCTTTTTCTCCATAAATACCATGTCCAGTCACCTGTCAGATCATAAAATAAAGCATAAGAATCCTGTGCACTCTGAACGGAGAGTCTATAACTTAAGGAAAGGGAAGGAGGAATAAGAGGAAAGAGATTTTGCCTCTTGACTTTCCAAGCAATCCCATCTGCTTCTCTATTGCTCTCTCTGCCTCATATAGGGGTAACAAAAGAAGTAAAAGATAGCTGTTCCCATGGACTAGAACAGCTGTCTTATTTTCCTAAAGAATACTGAAGCTAAGATATGAGGTGAAGTTGAAGAAAAGAAGAATTTATAAGTTTTCCCATGTCCTTTGTTCTCCCTTATTATTAAGCCAAAAAGGAATCTGCCTTGCTCCCCACTGGGATTTTATTTTTCATGCCCGTAACTTCATTGTCACTGTCTAACGGTTATAAAAGGAGTAGTCAGCCGAGAAACAATCTGCAGCTCCATAACCTAAAAATGAATAAAAATGAGCTGCCGTGTCAAAGTTAGCTAGATCTCCCCCATCACGAACACAAGTTAGCTTAAACTCAATCATTTAGCTCTTTCAGGCTATAAACAGAGGTTAGATTTGACATGGGCTTGACTGTCCCTGGACTTGACCTGGATCAAAATGAAAGCAGCACAATTATTTACACATCACCCTTCCTAGTTGCATTTCTGCTCCTCTGCCAGCAGCTAGCCAGCAAAAGCACACATCCTAGCCAGCTTGGCCCAGGAAGGTCCCACAATAACTTTACAGATTAACACCACAATGTCCCAGGAAAAGGTGATAGCACATTTTATCCAGCACACTTCAGTGGGAAATGAAGCAGGACAGTGGACTTGTTTGTTTGTAGGTTCATGGGACATAATGCTTTCTGCTGGGAAAAATGTGGCATCTGCTTAGAGTAACAGAGTCCACAGCTCCAAGATGTGATGTGATCAAGATTAGATTTTCTAATGTTCCCCCAAAATAGTATTTGTTATTGATATGGTAGAGCTGGGTTTAGGATTTAGGTTAGCTTTTCCAGAAAGGTTAGCAAGTGAACCTTTCAAAACTATGAACAAGTACATTGGCTCAGTCATTCTTTTTTTTTTTTTTTATAAATTGAACATTACTCACAATCTCATGTCCTGTCTCTGATTCTTGCAGAGAACTGTCACTGATGCAGAAAGAAGCCAGGACATAGAGCACTGGCTTTAAAACATCTGTTTATTTCTTAAAAGTAGTTTCTTCTTGGGCTAGTACTTCAGGTACCAGTTAAAATATCAGTTTTCATCACTCCAGCTTTTTCCAGCAATTACCACATTTACTCCTTTCCTTCCCGTAAAAAGCCCTCCAAAATTGAGGTACATGTCTTAATACGTTCGCGTATCCTCCAAAAATGGCAAAATCCGTAAAAAAGGCACTGTATTCATGAATGCAGTGCCCCTGGCAGTTGGGGGTGGGAGGTGGGCACGGCTCTGGCAGTAGCAGTTGCAAGCACGGAGCTCCCGAGGAGCTCCTGTAAGTATATAAAGTGTATTTAAAATGCAGGTTCGGCACTCATGAATACCTGAAACTGCGAATTCTGAACCCGCGAATAGTGAGGGTTTCCTGTACATATACATATACATGTGTGTGTGCATGTGAGCCAACGTATGAAGTAATAACTCATGCATCTAAAAGCAGGGCCATACTGCATGATGGTACACACTTTAGAAAAAGTTGCAAATTTTTCTTTTTCAAAAAATATACAGAAATGATTTAGAAGTTCTTTAATTCCCTGATTCTGAAAATCTGTCTCATGTTAAGTAGCACTGGCTTGTGATTTATTTCCACTGACAGTAATGGGATTATCAGCATAAAAAATTGGATTGTAAGGTAAGGTTTCATAATCAAGCTCCCAGTCCATACATTTCTTTTCTTCTAAGAAGATATTTTAATAGTTGTGCCACACTCTGAAACAATATATTTTTTTAAAATATGATATGGCAGAGCAGAAGAACACAGTCTAAAAACATATGTAATAATAAAAATTTAATTTTGAATCTGTAGAGTACTGTTTAACGCTGAGCACATCTTCATGAGACACTGACCACGCAGTTGTTACTGCTCAGTCATTTAGTACTTGTATAAACAGATGGTTGGGTGGTACTAAATGACTACACAGTAACTCATGTTACTGAACAGTAGTAGCAATGAATGGGGTTGTTGTGATGCTGACTGAGCAGTAGCATCATGTTACAGTTTCTGCCATGCAACGCTACTGCACAATCGTCTCAGGCTATTAAGCGCAGTGTCTCATGTAGAAGTGGCTACTGAGTAACATTGAAAATGAAGGACTCCCATTTCTGTCTATAACTTCTTTTCCCCCTTCCATAGGAAAGAAAGGCACACATGGACACGTCTTTGGCCAGACATTAGTCCCAGCTGTAATACATCTGTTAGCATTTTTTGTCCATGATTCAAAGCTACTTACTTGTTCAGCATCCAAGAAGAGATGCTCAGTTTTGCTAAATCAAAAGTATGGTATTAATGAAGTGGAAAGGTGTTATAGTTTTAGTGTTATCCCCTTTGACATAAGGAGAGGAACATGTGTTCAAACTATAGAACTTATTTATTGGTTTTCAGTATAAACTAGAATATTTCAGCTTCACCCACTAAATATGAGGATTTACACACCAAACATCAGGATTAAGGCATGGCTGATATCGTGTAGATAGTATGTTCTCCATGTGATCAAAATTGTATTTCCTAAACCTGTAACAAGTGCACAAATAAGGGTGGTAGAATGAGGGCCCAAATATATGAAACCACATAAACAGGTTGATTCTGCTTTCATTGAAGTCAATGAAAGTTTAATCCAAAAGATGTTTTGTTTTCATGTAGTCTTGTAAAACAGCAGCACCACAAAATAACATGTTGGTCAGGGTACTGCACTGCATATACTAGTACTGCCATAACAAATCTTTTTTCACTCTGTTTAATTTTCTCCCAGTTAAAATGAACCATGCAAGATAAAAGCCTAACTGTGTGTTTAAAAAATAAATGAAGAGATATCTTTATAGCTATTAAAATGTCACATTAAAGGGACTTCACAGAATCATAGAAAATGAGAGTTGGAAGGGACTTCAGGGCTAAGGACAGACAGTCAAAAAGCCCGAGGCTAAATCAATTCATTTTTTTCAGGTTAGTTTAAACTGCACAGATTGAACTGATAAGCCAGCGAACAGATGTTCACTTCTGATTCTGGAAATGCAGCCACATGCCTACAGTGGCCCAGACCAGAAACCAAGGGGTGCTGTAGCAAACCTCCCTGCTCGGCTGGAGTAGACAACTTGGGCAAGGCTAGTGCTCTCACCCTGTGGGGGGGGAGGGGGTTTGTGGGGAAGGTGCAAAGCATCCTGGGATGTTGGGGGACTGGGAGTTCACTTCAATCTGGAGGGGATCTGGGACAGAAGTTCAATAACTGATTTAACCTAAAATAGTTCAGTCTGTTACTCTATCCAGGTTTAGCTTAAACCAGTTTTGGCCATTTTGAAAGCAGTTTAAGTGTGCTGAACTTCTGTTGTCAGGGCCAGCCCATCCTATCCTGAAGAACCTGCAGCCACAGGGGGCCCTGCAGCTAAGGGGCCACCTGCAGCCATGAACACTCCAAATCAGTGCTGTAGGTAGGGAGGTGGATGGTAGCTACCACTCTGCTTTGCCGCTGCCACCTCCAGCTTCATGCCCAGCCATTAGCCACTCCCCCTGCTGCCAATTACAACTTCTTCACATCAGGGGGCCCCAAAATTATATCCCACAGGGGGCCCCCAAAAATTGTGGGCTGGCCCTGTCTCTTGTGTTACAGATTTGAACTGGTTTCCAATCACTTAGACCAGTTTATGGGTAATTTCTGTCCCTGGCTGCTCAGGAGATCATCTAGTCCAACCCCCAGCTCAAAGTAGGACCATTCCCAACTATATCATTCCAGCCAAGGCTTTGTCTAGCCAGACTTGTGGTTAAGCTTTCAATTCTCCATTGACTATATATACTGAATATAACTAAGAAAATATTTATTATAAATCCTGAAGAGCTGAAGACTCTGAAATATAATGTTTTCAGGATAGAGCAGAGATCTAGTTTCATGATTTCAATTACTGTTAAAAGTTCTGTAGTCAGACTCCTTAACAGAATTTACCATTTTGTCTCTGTTGTGACCTAATACTTTTGGATGCTTTGTGGAGAAATGTAAAGTTAAATCTCAATCATGGTGGTTTTCAATGTGCAGTAGTTACTCTTCAGAATCAAAAGAAAAAATCAATTCAGTCCACTGAAATAAGTAAATGGATCAAAATAAATTTGTATGATTTGAATGTAAGAGTTTCCATAGGGATGAGACAAATTATGAAAGAAACACAGTCAAGGAATGTGTTTGCAGGTAAAACAATGCAAAAGAACTAATGCCAGGGCTGAGTGTCCACATAAGAACCAATTCCTCTACAGTTTTCTTAATGCAGCACACAGCTAATTCACAAGGCCTGTACAGGCTCTTTCCTGTGGAGTGAATTTGATCCTACCTGTTGTTACCGTCTATGTCAGGAGTATAAATCCAAACCCATGTCACAGGGCACCGATAAGATTAAGTCCCAAATACAACTGTACCACATGATTGAGAGAAGGAAAATAAACAGTAAATTGAACATAAAGGACTGAAGCTCAAGGGTAGCACTTCAAAGCAAGCCCAATCAATCATCCCAAACTGAGTGTGCAAGAGAGAACTAGGATGGGTAGGAAATGGGCATATTACACAAAATCTTCCTTTTCTACAACACACAGGCATTTTTCAATCCACAGGGGAAGTTATGCTGCTTCCCATATTAGCAACATTCTCTGGCAGGTTGTGCCCTTTATAGAGGAATGGGGGGTATTTAACACTGAAGCAAAATGTGAAATCTTTCTACTAGGCAAAGACTTTATCATGGGAAGAGGAACACTATCCCTCATCAATGACAAGAAAGTAAATACTGAATATTATTTCCAAATACAAAAATTGTCCTGTTGTCTTGGTGCCAGCAAAAATCTGTGAGGCCACAAAGCTTTCACCCTTGAAAAGAGCATCAGAGAGGGATACTGAGAATTCTACACCATTCATTTATGGCCTTCAGTTTCCACTCCAAAGAATTTTCTTACAGAGGATATTACAGGACCTCAAACTGTTTAGTCTGTCCTATATATTTCAGTTGATTTTTAGCATAACAAAGTTTATGAGCTCATAAATCTCCTATCATTATATAAAGATATTGAAACCAATTAAAAGTCATGCATTTTTATCTAATAAAGAAGATTTCCATTATTTTTCTACTTTAAGAAAAATTTAGAAAGATAGATTATTTCATTCAGTTCACAAGTTTTCCTTAGAACTCCCCAAAAGGTATGAAAAAGAGAATTATTAATATAAATAAAAATAAAGGAACATCAAGAAAAGGCACTGAGTTTGTTTCAAAGGCAATGGCAGCATTTCCACCATCTTCAGTGGGCATTGGATCAAGTCCTATATGCTCCAAAGACTATAACAAGCAATCCAGACAACTAAAGAAGAATTGCTAAATTTAAATTGATCTAATTCTATCATATTTGCCTTTAAGCAACTTACGCTTGTTTCTGTGATATCAGTCTCTGCTGGAACACCTGGACCAAACTCCTCATTAGTGTGATCGGTGGGTTTTTCTTCGTATTCTTTATATTCATAAAAATCATATTCGCCTAAATCTCCATCTACCAGAAGGTCAGATTCACTGAGGTCTACTCTTCTGTTTTCATATTCAGTTTCCTCATTTTTTTTATTTTCTGAATCATAATCCTCTCCAGTTACGTATTCTTCAGTAAATACTTCTTCAACGGGATTTTGCTATTCATGTAAGCAGCAAAGGTTTGGGAATAGGAGGAAGATGTGTATTACTGTTAGTAAAGCAATATAAGCAATTGGTGATTGACCATGATGATGTCAAAAAGAAGTCAGAATAGTAAACAATGGCATATTTTCTTTTAATTAGATTCTGAAAGACTAGAAAGCCAGCATTTCAGAGTGATTAAAAGATCATTCTATGTACACAAGTTTGTACAAAGAACTTATGTTTTCATACATCTTTTTTTTCTGAAACATTAACTCTAATTGTTCATGCATATGCTATGTGCAGTTGCTAGTTTACTGTTATTTCTGGATCCAGCATTCTTATCCATCAATGAATAACAATGCCACACTGAATGTTTCAACATTTTTCCTTCCAATGATGTTGCAGTATACGCATCATACATACACATCATGGTTCATTTCTTTAATAGCAATTTATATATATTTTTGGATAAGTCTAAATGCCACCTGAAAAACTCGTAGAAGATGAAGTTGAAACTTTGGTGAAAGCTAAGGGCCTTGTTACACATTGCACTTTGAGCTCCTCAAATGTTGATCAGTGTTAGTGCTAGCTCATGTTTGGAGTACTTACACCTTAAGGCTAAAAAACTTCTCTGACTATCCTAACCTTCACAGCTGTTGCTTGCCACTAGGGGGCTGGTGAGCAGGTGCCTGACTAGGAGCTATAGGGGTGAGGTACCACTACAGGGCTGGTAGGCCAGGATAGGCTTCTATGTCCTGTTCTAGATAGGGGAGTGGGAGAGATGGGTTGGTGGGGAAGGGCAGGGACATAAAGCTGGGAGACAGAGAATTAATGGAATGGGGGTAGGTAGTGAAACAGGAGGTGGAGGAAATGGGGTAGTGGAAGGGTGGTGAAATGAAGGAAGTCAGGAAAGATAATATAAAAGAAGTTAACAATTCAAAAGAAATAAAGTAAATTAAAGCAAGTCTCATGTTTTAATAAATTACATAATTAATTTGGGATTGGGGCATGAGAGTGCTGATCATGCTTCCTGGGGTGGCTGGGAGATAAGCAGTGCTTTTTGGGGAGCTACTACCCCTTTCCTGGGAAGGAAGTCCCAGCTCATGGGGACCCAATCTGGCACCCACCTTATTCCCCTGCCAACACCTCTAGACACCACTCCTGGACCTGTCTATGCCCTGTGACCTGGCTAAATGGCATGTGCTTTGCAGGCTGTTTGCATGGGGTTGTACCACTGGGAATGGGAAGGTCACAGCCCTAGGGATGGAAAGGTTAGTTTGGTGCCAGGACCATCCCTTGGGCAGTAGAGTTCAGGGTGTGGAAAGTTTGTCCACACAGAACAAGAGGGTAGGGTAGGGGGACACTGTATCCTAGGATGTTGGAAGACTCCAACTTGGGCAGTTTATCTGTGGGGAGTGGCCACACATTAATGGAACAAGAGCCATGTAACATAAATCAGAGATAAACCTGCCCTGGAGTGATGTAACTTTAAGCTACCTAAAGTGTGCTTAAGACTAGTTTTGGGTGTTAAGAGCTCTAGGAGCTGCCGAAAATAGAAGTGTAACAAGGCCCTAAGTCATGTTTGCAACTTCCATCCTTAATAACACAAACTGTGTAAAACCAAGCAATCTTCATATAACTCCAAACATATTTTAAAAGCATTTTATCTGAGAAGATGTACAAAACTTTTATTTTTAGAAAGTAACTGTATTTCTTTAAGTCTTTGGGGAAAGAACATTTTGAAAAAATAAGAAGCCAAATATTCAACATTATATGTGTACCCTAGAGTATTATTTGGAATGAGTTAATGTATCTTTAAATAGCGTACAAGGAGACTTTGCTATCCAAAATCATTAATGGTGTATGGGTCCAATCATGGTGAAATATAAGAGTTAAAACAGATGATCTAATTCTGATTTTACTTTAATTTAGGGACAGTGCAATTCCAAAAATTACAAAATTGTTATTTCTAATGTACATTGTGTACATCAGAACGAAGCCAAATACATTCAGAAATCAAATCAATATTTGGAAATCAACCCCTTTTTTACTTATCTTTAAAGATCTGATTTCTTTTTCCTTTATGCAAAATTGCTTCATATGGCTCCCACTGAAGAAAAAACTTAGCATTGTGATTTCGGTCTCACTACAGTAAAGATATTGCTCGACTGCCTAACACAATGTAAAAAATGCAAGGAGTATACCTACAGAACCCTTCCTCATCAACAGCTGCCAGATAATTGCAAAATCTAAAACTCAGTTCTCAATAGCTATAAAGATTTGACATTTACATTTTAACTTCTAAAATGCATATGGAGGAAATGATAACATCAACTTACTTCTCTTCGTGTATTTCATCATATTATCTAAATTGTATGAACTTTTTGGCATCTGCTCCACATTTCAAAGCGTAAAATAAGTATGCTGAGCAATTTCAGTACTATTTTTCATATTTGGCTTGAATGAGTTATGATTGTTGCTTTAGCAGGATAGTTCAGTTTTGTACATCTTTTAAGCAATATATGTTCATTTTGAAAGCGTTATGTAAAAGGAAATTGAAAAACCTTTTTATTGTCATTTATATATATATATATAGATAGATAGATAGATAGATAGTATATGTAATGTGTGTATATGCATATATGTGTAATATACACACATATACATATTTATATAAATGCAGGCATATATATACACACATAAGTAAAACATTTATATTAATGTTTCCTTAAAAATAATGCTTAGGCGCTTTATTGTTGTTATCAAGCAATAATAATTTTAGCATGATTTGAAGTCACTATATGATTTTTTTTTCAGATGTTCTACTCAAATAAATACTTATTGACAAAACCAAACCAATAATGTTTAGTATGAATGTAACTTTAACAACAAGCAAAGGCTTTTGTTGTTCTTTTTGGCTAAAAAAACAACAACTGCTAAAGTGATGGCATTCAACTCATTTCAATATGCTATGAATTACGTGAAGTAAAACATTGAAGTTAAAAAATCCAATTGGCTAAAATACAACAAAAATAGCAAACAAGTTAGTTTCTCCCTTAGCTATGGTTTTGGTATTACAGTTAAAAAAGAAAATTCTCAGGGATTGGGAGATGTATGTTTTAAATCTATCTGATCTATGATAGCTGAGGGGCAGAGATTTGAATGCATGTTTGTCTGCCAGGTAGAAAGTGGTAAGTAAGATGGAGAAGGGGAACTTGTTCAGGCAGTAGGAGAGAGGAATGATTAACTACTCCTGGCTACATTTAAAACCATATCTCCTCAGAGACCCTCATTCTCTGTTGTCAGTCCTCTTCTTTACTCTGTAACTCTTAGAGTAAAGGGGAGGAGTATGAAGGTTTTGCTTCCCACCAGTGCAGAGGGCTATACCTAGCACATATTCCTACTTTCACAAAGTGTAGTCCTACTCACACCTGCATTGGATGCAGCAACCTTGCACTCCATGTGCTATATGAAACAAGGAAGGACTTGCCGGAGCAAGGACTTCACCATTTTTACTTGAACAAACCTCCTATAGAGCCATCAGAGAAGTATGTTCAGGAAAAGTTTTGACATTCACTATTCATGCATAAAATCCCATTGATCAGAATTATCCAGATACATATACTGAGAGGAGTTGTCCCTTTCATATGCTTCTGTTATAAAAGAAGATGGGGAGGGGAGTGGGGGGCACCTTAGAGATCCCCCCCTTCCTTTAAAAAAAGCAATTGTAATTCATTAACCATTAACATTGCACTGATAAGCATCTTCATTTGCATTTTACAACCCCCCTCCCACACACCCTTGTGCCCATCTCTCATTACCTCATTTGGTTCAGTAGTCTGGGTGGGAGCTTCTGTTTGGGAACTGTAGTCAGTTTCAGTTACACTATACTCTTGAAATTCATCAACAACGTTGGCCTGATGTTAAAGAGAAAGTACATTGTTAAAAGGTAGTAGATGGGAAAGATCCAGCAGGCATCACTGTTTAATCACATTATAGCATTAGGCAGAGATGTATTCATCTAGTGGGGTTAGGGCTAGTTATGTCTCATGATCAGAGATCTTCCGGTCTTGGCCGGAGAAAGATCTTGATTATTTCTTTGCTACCTTTACCCCTAGTTTGCCTTTAGCTGCTTCTTGGTAACTTTTCTTCTTCTTGGATGCAAATTTTTCAGATATTTTTGTTGTGATCTTTTTAGGTTTGTCCTTTGAGTAAGCAGCCATTGTCGTCATCTTCCCTTTGGCTTTGGCTTTCTTTTTCTGCAAATGTGGTGAAAGATGGAATGGAAAAACATAAATAAAATAAGAAAGAAAAGGAGGAAGCATGAATGAAAGGAGGCTCAGCACAGACAAAATGAATGCTGTCAGTCGTCAGGCTTTCCACTGCTAAGTAAAAACAAGTGATATATATATATGAAAGGAGTGAGTAAAAGGAATTTAATGAGTTAGATAACATGACACAAAATAACAAACTACACAGTAAGAGACAGCCGGACACTACATGACAAATGGACCGGATTTTGTTACCTCAGTTTGTGCAACTGTCTCCTCAAATAGTGGGGGTCCCTCTGTAACAGTGTCAGTCTCTTTATAATCTGCTTCCCCATACTCATAGTCATATTCGATTAAATCTTCTGGTAGGTACTACATTGCAAATGGAAAAATATCAGGCATGCCTATGTTAGTGGCAGCAAACTACATTAGAAAATTGGAAAGCATCTTAACCTTTACTTGGGAGTAAAGTTTAATGTTAGTGTGATGAAACATGAATAATTTGACATGTTCATTCATTGAGAAAAACACTCAATATCATGATTTTTATTTCCTTTTTTAAAATGCAATACAAAAGTCATGAAAAAGCAAGTAATGGAGGCAGAAGAAAAAATATCTTTTATTGGTTGCACAGAATAGTCAGTTTTAATTTAGATTATGGGGAGATCCTACTGGCATTTGCAAAATCACATATTTTTAGATTATTTTAGGTACCAATAATTTGATAATAAAGTCTCTTTCTGCCTCTCTCAACTTGGTCTCTACCTACTTACATACTGCCTGCAAGAAGAGTGTGATTTCTAGAAGTAGAATTAAATTTCCACCAGTAAACTCTTACATCTTGAAAAAATAAATCTGAAAAGGCTGGATTTCCTGAATTTCTAGCCAGAACAGCTGGGGAGGTGATGGTATTCCCATATACATAGATGGACTTAATAGGAAAACAACTAACTTCTAATGAAATTCAGGATACTACTCCCAAATAAATAGTGCTGGATATCAGTTCATTAGCATGCTCCAGCAGCCTCGGCTTCTCTTGTATTCAGCGTTCCCATACTGCAAAATGGTAGTAGGGGCACTTTGGCTAAAGGTCTTTGAACAAACTTTAGTTAAAGCACCTCCCACTGCCATTTTGAAGTATGCTACACTGAATACATAAGACGCTGCAGGTGCTTTATTTAGAGCATTTTTTCATAGATTTCATAGACATTAGGTCTGGAAGAGACCTCGCGAGATCATCGGGTCCAGCCCCTAATGTCTATGAAATAATTCTTGGAAGCTCCAGAGAGCTACTTTAATTAAAGTCCCCCCCCTTGACCCCAGAGCACATGTAAAGATGCCCTATGGGACTAGGAGGAAGGGGAAAGTGAATTAAATAACACTTGTCACTTTCTGTATGCTAGGGAGCTTCAGACTGTATACATTATGCCTAGGAACAAACATTACATATAAACCAGTTTCAGTGATCAGAAACTGGTTTAAACCTGTAACAGAACAAATGTTCAGTGCACATAAACCAGTTTGAAAATGGCTGAAGCCAGTTTGAGATAAGCCTGGTTGAATATAGTATCAGACTTAGCTAATTTAGGTCAAACCAGCTTATGGAATGTCTGTCCCAGACCCTTTACTTGTTTAAGTTAAATCAGACTCCCCCAACATGCTGTCTGGGCTGGGCAGGCCCCTCCCCTCTGTCCCCTGGCTCCAGTTTCAGCAGAGACTGCAGGCATTTGCCTGGCTTTCGCTCCCCTACCCTCCCCTCTAAGTAGGGATTCCACCGTCCCCTCTGCCTTACACAGACACACAGCATTAGCTGGCAGATCACATGCTGCCTATGGTCTGTGCTGTGGCAGATGGGACAAAGGCAGAATCAACAGGTAGCTGGTAATGTCCCCCTGTTGTTTTCTTAACAGGGTAATAAACATTGAGTTAGGGGTGATAAACATCCATTTATCCATCCATTCCTCGCTGGGCTTGTCAGAAGGGGAGGGAACCCCTACTTAATCAGAGTGTCCTGCTAGGGCTTGGCCACACCCCCCTCAGCTCAGCACTGTAGAAGGGAAGGAAGGCCACTACAGACAAGTGCCTGAATTTCGTCAGTTCAGAGGGGATGTCTTGATGATTACAAACTGGTTTAGCCTAGCTAGGTTAGACTAACCTGCAAAGATTGAATCAATTCAGGCTTTTTGAATGTCTGTCCCTAGCCTAGGAGACCATGTATGATTAAATTGAAATATGCAAATTCTCATCTGGTATAAATTATTGTAAGTTTCACTGCATTCACTGCAACTACAAAAATTTACACCAACTGAGGATTTAGTCTTTTGAAAGACTTTTAAAAGATAAATTAGATATAGAATTGTTTGTGTAATAGCATGAAACTCTGAGCCATGAATTAAGACTTTTGGTCTGGGCTTTACTACTGACTGACTGGGCTAGGTCATCAGATGCACTGGAACTCCACTCAGAACAAGTGAAAGCATCTTTAAAATACCTTCATGCCAGTCCTGATGCCTGGAGCTGCAGGAACTGTTTTGCCCACCTCGTGCAAATGCAAGCAGTCTCAATGTTGCTATACACTCTGTATGTTAGTAATAACCTTCAAGGAACTCTTACATCGCATAGTCATGCCAACATAGAACATGCTGCAGCCACACCTCTCTTTCTCCCAACAGGGAAATGATTATGATGTGATTTAAGTATTTACAAGAATACTAAATGTCATTGTCATAAAAAATGTATTAGCAATATTGGAGGAAGTATTAAAATTAGTCTTTGCTCCCTCAAAATAATTTACATAATCTTGCCAAAGATGCTAGTTTGCCAGCTTACAGTGGTCAGGTCTATCTTTTACTTGAAGACAAGTTTGTGAGGAAAAAGTGTTTAGAGAAAAAGTAGCAAAGACCTGATGCTAAACCACTAAATTGACTAACTTTTTGCTATTTTATTGCTTTTGCACCTCTAACTAGTCAATCACCTCTTACACAAAATGTATTAATTTCTACTCTGTGCACCCATTTTCATACCAATATCAAAAGAATTTGACCTCAAATCACTTTGAAATCTTGCTTTTTCATTGTGTGCAATTATTGTATTGATCCTGTTTTTATAAAAAAGAAAATATATAATTTTAGTAATGCTTTTTATGTTGATGTTACATATGGTTATTTTCATAGATAAAACTGTTACATGATATACTGACAAGAAAAAAAGGAAGTATTTGAATTTTAAAATATATTCTCTAAAATTAAATAGGATATTTGTGGATAAAACTTTAAATGCAGAACTTTGATTTATTTAGGCCTAGAATGCAACTTAAAATTGTTATATTCTGGTCAAGAATATCCTTCCTACAGAATGTTTGTCTTTTAAATCTACCTATTTGTCATGAACTACTTACTGCATATGGGTCAAACCAGGCTCTGACATTGGATGGATCTACAATAGATGCTAAATGAATAGTTGACTATTCTAACTGCACATTAGTGTGTCATGATGAAAGCCATGCTATTGTGCTAATGCACAGCAGAATTAGTCTACTAAGCATTAGCATCACTTGAAAGGTATGTGCTGGTGCTACGAGCAGTAGCACCAGTTCCTGCTTATTTGTTTAGTACCTGTAATAACAGGTTACCTGTTATTACAGGTACTAAACATAATATGCAGTAACCACAGTGCATTAATGCACCACAGTGCATTAATGCATATGTAGACATGCCCACAGATATCAGTAGGAGTATTCACTTGACAATCAGACAATCAATGGCACTGTATTTATGGTACAAATCAGGCACCATTTTAGACTAAAATAATGTGTGATTATTTCCCATCCCCTTTCTGTTTGGTTATTCCCAGTAAAGTCAATGGAAAAACTTTAAGTTGCAACTCATATTGCCAGAGCTGTATAAAGACAACATTACCATTTTCATATAGAGAAGGAAATAAAGAAAGGAAAGAGTTCTCATGCCTGGAAACTGAGCTAAACATGATTGGTTCCTAATAAAGAGTAACACTGACAATATGAAAGCAAAACATATTGACAAACTTCTATAACACCATTAGCAACAGTGTAAAATAACTATTAAAAGATTCCTTTTAAATTAGCAAGGTACATGACTTGCTTGGAGGTGCTATAACATGTATAAATCCACACCAGTGGTTTGTTTCTCTTCTGTCGCAGAGTCTGTGAAGTGTTTTAATATGGGGGGAAAAAAGATTCTGTGAATTTTATGCCAGACTGACTGACCAGGGAGATGAATCGCATATATGCAAATAGTTCTGTGGCAAAAATTGTGTCAAATTCACCTCAATGTAATTTCCATTGAAGTTAATACATTATACTAGATATGAATCGCACTAAAATAGAATATCCAAAATTCCAGGGGATAAATGGAGAAAAATATTACAAAATTATTTCAATAGAGGAAATTTCAAGAAATATATGCTACTGGAATTTACTTTGTTTTTAAATAGCTCCAAATTATACTATATATACTGACAAGCATCACTGAGCCATCCACAAACTGAGAAGCTATAAAAATCAGCATTCATTCAGTACATTCAATAATTAATGGCTTTGTTGGACAGTGCCAAATATGTGGCTAATAAAATTACAACAGCAGTTAAGAAAAGTTCTTCAAAGGCCACAACCAAACAAAAATGCTGACTGGAAAAAACAGTTGTGCCAAGTATGTTAGTATGAAAAGGGAACATGGTGCATAAATTGATATTTATGCTAACTTATGCCAGAGGCACAGTTTGAAAAACCAGACACTTATGAATGAGAACTATAAAATACACATACAAAAGCATGGATATGTGGAAGCATCTATTGCAGCATGCATAAGCAAGTGGAAAATATAATTTTCCTGGGATGATGCTTTACTCCTTTATACTTAATGCAAATGAAACTGGCTTTAAATATACGTGTCTCAAAAAAACTGGTCATTTAGGCTGTCATTCAGATGCAGACTCTCAGACTGGAAAGTTGG